AAACGAAGTTTGAAAATCATGAGATTTGTCATGATGTAGTGATATCTTACGTGGAGGCTGTGGTAAAAATTTGATAAGGTTTCGCATGTTTTGTCACGTACGATGTTTACAAACCGAACCATCTTTGAAGAAGAATCGTAGCGTTGGGAAGGATTCGGTAAGATTTGAAATCAAAGTGACGGTTGAGTTGGGGTTTGACTTCAAAACTTTTTATATAAGCAATAGAGAACATAGATTGTTTCAAGTGAAATTTTGATAATTTTTTGGATCCGTTTGATAATTTTAATTTATTAAGTGCAATTATAGAATTTTAATTGATATAAATTGAATTTGAACTATAACTACATGAAATAATGGAATAATATTCGTAGAAAAATCAAATATATATTGTCGAGTGAATTTGACAAGGTATTTTCAAAGTACATCAGAACAAATTTAGAAAAATACGTTATGAAAAAGAAAAAAAGAAAGAAAATAAAAAAAACTGGATTTGCCGAGTGCTCCTGGCGTGGCACTCGACAAACCCCCTTCTTTGCCGAGTGTCAGATCTGGACACTCGATGAACCCCTGCTCATATACACTCGGCCACACACGCACACACTCACCCGCGCCACACACGCACACAGGCACACCCGCCCCCGTCCGCCGCCGGCGCCCCCTGCGCCCTACCCCGCCGGCCCCAGGCCCGCGTCCCTCTCGTCTCCTATATGGAAGGAGAAAAATAGACGCCGCCGCCATGTCGAAGCGAGGTAAGCCGCCTCCTTTCCCCAGCTTGATAAGCCCATTTCCTCGTCGATTGATTATCCATCCTGTTGCAATCTCGCGTTTTTAATGGAGTTCTCGCTTGGTGTGGTGTCTCGTGATGTGATCCAGGAGAGGAGGTATGACGGGGAACAGTTCCGCGATGTCGTTGGTTCGCCCTGGCGGCGACGGTGAATCACGGCCGACAACACGGGCTCCAAGAACCTCTACATCATCTCCGTCAAGGGCATCAAGGGCCGCCTCAACTGCCTCCCGTCCGGATCTGGCCCCTTCCCTCCGGATCCGGCCCCGCCGCCTCCCTCCCTCCCTCCCGGATCCGGCGCCGCCCGCCTCCTCCTCCCTCCTCCCTCCCTCCCGGATTTCCCAGATCTTGCTTGCCACCCGCCCTCCCTCCGGATCCGGCCCCGCCGCCTCCCTCCCGGATTTCCCCGGCGCACCGACTTCGAGGGCTTGCGCGTGATGGATGCCCGCCACGGCCGTGTTCTCGTTAGAAGAGGCAGCGTCCTCGCCGTCTGGAACCCCATCACGAATGAGGTGCGGGTACATGTTGCTTATTTTTAGCTTTTACAATGTTCAGAACGAGAAATAATTTAGTTGCTAAAATGGCGATAGGCTTCTGCATAACTTATTTATGGAACTGCAATATCACAATCTTGTACTACCGAATTGGGTTGATCCTACCTAAATCTTTTGTTGTGGGGAATCTTTGAAACTGATTAGATATAACTATGATTTATTGATCCATGATGCAGTTTGTGGTTTGTGGATCTATGAGATCTATGGTTCGGCAGCACTTTATGCATCAATGAGATTGGTGTTAGCTTTAATTCGTTGGACTTCAAGGTTATGATTTTTAAGCAATTGTTGCTCTTAAAATTTTTAGCTTGATCATTGGCTTCAAGTTCTACAGAACTTGTATGTAAGCTGTGAACCCTTATATTGCCCTAATTGATCGTGGTTATATGTGCTTCAGTATTCCTGCTTGCGAATTGATAAACTCATATGTTGTGTGCCTGCATGTCATTCCTACATAAATTCATTGTGGTTCAACATCATGTGGCTTATTGGATAATAACCATAAACTTGCTAATTTATTGTCGTGATATTTTGCTTTTGTGGGCAACTTGATAGAAATTCAAAGTCAGTCACCTTATTTATGTGTGAATGTTGAAACCACAATGTAGTGGGGATAAGACTATGTTACACAATTTTGCTTGTCTGAATGCGCGGGGGTGGGGGTGGGGATATAACTAGCATCATCAAAGACACTACTACAAAAAAGATTTTTAGGGGCGGCTCTAGAGGCTCTGTAGGGGCGGTTTGCCTAGCCGCCCCAACGCAAGGGTCTCTACAAATCATGTATTTGTAGGGGCGGTTCCCAGGCCGCCCCTACAAATCGATTTCTAGGGGCGGCTGGTGTTTTCAGCCGCCCCTACAAAGTAGGGGCGGTTGGTACTGTAGCCGCCCTTACAAATCGATTTATAGGGGCGGTCTGGGAACACTAGCCACCCTTACAAATCGATTTGTAGGGGCGGCTACAGTACCAACCGTCCCTACAAATCATTTTTCCGTCAAAAAAAATTTAAATTTACAATTCAAATTCGACCAGAACATATATTTTTCATGCACAACTCCATCATGACTTATCTTCTTCTACGATTGTACTGAAACTCAATGACAATACACAAGCATGGAATGGAATTCACTTGGAAGATAATCAAAAGTCTAAGACATGCCTAAGAACAATAAAAGCCATCTGAAAGTGTTTGCCGATGCCTATCCACTATTTTTGCTAAACTGCAGGTATAAATACAAGTACAAGCACAAGTCATAAAGCATAGACTGAGGGGTAGTTCAATCGATTTGCCTCAGATAACAAGCCATTTGCCCCTTAAAAAACACATAAAAGCAAGTATAAGATGTTGATAAGATGAGGGGTAGTTCAATCGATTTTCCTCAGATTTAATTGCCTTTTCATTTGACCTTGAACTTGGAGCTTAAGAAACATAGACAGCAACAAACCTAAAATAGATAGTAGAAAAACCAAGATCATGACAGGCATGAAACCATGAGAGACATCCAGCCCAGCCATCAGATCATCAGAATTGTCCAGCTGTTGCTTGGGCATGGATGTTTCACATGGTTTGATGACAGCCATGAAAAGCATAAGCAGAAGATAGAAGAAACAATGCTCCAGTACCTCACAAGTCCAAGGCCATCAATGTGTATAATCCATTACTCAAATTGGCACTGTTATCTTCATAGGCATGAAAAGGATCTCACAATTGTATCAGCCTCAGTTAAAAAAATAGTTGACATCAGAAGCACAAAAAAACGTAGGCCTCAGCTAATGTAAACTGCAATCATCCCAGGTGGCAAATAAGAACACAAATTGCTAAGGCAAATTCATGACTCCCATGAAAGCGTGGGACACGTCCATCCCAGCCATCCGGTAGGCATGCCTACAACAGTTGCATGGGAATGGACGTACATTTCTCCACAAGTACAAGCAAATATAGAGACAAGTACAAGAAATAGTAATATATCCTCCCATTCGTAGTAGTTGACCTTGCTTACGTGATCATCTCGGCGAGCATTTCTCCACTGGACGGCACCGTACTTGACCAAGGAAGAGCTCCGATTCTACGAGAAAGAGAACACGGTCTTCCACGACCGTTGCCGCTCTCCCTCGTAGAATCAAAGCTCCTCCTTGACGTCCGTTACCGCTCGGCAGAGAACATGCTAGCCGAGATGAACACGGTCCGCAAGTTTGGAACAAATTATAAAGGTAGATTGTTGTATCATGAAAATGACATTGCACAGGAACGAAAACCACACTAAACTCAGCTAGCTACTACTCCAAATTTTCTGAAACTCAATGAACCACTATAAATTGAGTTGCAAATAAATAGACCAATTATAAACTCAATGAATTGCATGCAGCTAGTTGTATTGAATAACCAGGAACAAAAACCAGGAACCTGGCAGCAATACAAACTGAACACTTAGCTTAAATGAGCATATAGCAATATATCAGCCAATCTAGTATCCAAAACAGAATTTGAATTTAAGATGAACAAAGTTTAATAAGTCAGGAATTATCACTGCACTGACTACATGGAGTCTTAAAATACAAGACAGGAAAATCAAAAGAAAACAGTTCCAGTTTGCTTATCTAATTCTGAAATTTCAGGAACAGTGTAACATTAGGTCAGAACTTAAAAGCCTCAATTCAATTTTATGACATATATAAACAATATCATGAAATTGTGTGCTACATGACGAATTCATTAGCTGCATAAGATCTGAAACTTCATCTAGCTTCCTCCATTTTGACACAACGAGGACACTAACTGCACAGCAGTGCGCAAGCAACATACATACCCCCCAAAGCTATTAGTTTTGTCCCCATCGGCTCGGCTAGTCATCATAAGGTAAGAAATCTGATCCATTCCTCCCAACCCTCTCTCATCTTGTCCTCGAATTCCAGAAGTCAAGAACTTTTCCCCTCCGCGTCCTCGCGCCCTCACTCAGCGACCAAATCCAATCGACAGCTACTGACGCGGACCAAACATGAAAGCAAAACACACACAGGAGGCCGAAGAGAACCGAAGGGAGAACTCACCGGGGGGCGGACAAGGTTCCTAGAGCTCATGATCACTCTCGGCTCGGGGCAGCTTCACGAGATCCAGTGGCGGCCTCTTACTTCCTCCACCCCTGCCCCCCGCGTCTCTTCCTATCGAAATTGCAAATCCATCAGTAGTACTAACCCTAGATCCCCAATCATGCACAAATCCATCAGAAGTAAGAGCTCACCGCCCAGCCCTAAGCGCAGCAGCAGTCGCGGCGTCACGTGCCCGCCGGCGGCTACAGCCGCATGTCGCCTCGCCCGCTAGCCGCCGGAGCCCGCAAGCTAGAAAAGTACATATAAACCAATCTCACACTGCTGGCCAGATCCACGCTGCCTAGTCTCCCGGATCGGCGCAGAAGCCGCCACCGCCCGCGGCCTACCTAGTCCGTGCGGCCACCGCCTCCTAGGCCTGGCTGTCCGACGCGGCTCCCTCGATCTACGCCGCTGCAGCTCACGGACAGAGGATCAAGGAGGCCGGCGGCGCTGGTGTCAGAGGGAGAGAGAGCGCGTGCGGAAGGAGGCCGGCGGTGGCAAGTGCGGGTGCCAAACCCTAGCCAGTGTGCACCTCTGTTTTATATGCGTGTGCGTGCAAGTACTAGCGTCTCGGATGGGCAGAAAGGCCTGCGTGGCCCAGGCCCAGGTTAGCTGCTCGTAAATTTTCGTCACGGCATTTGTAGGGGCGGCTCAATCAGCAGCCGCCCCTACAAATAACAGTACCGGGGGCGGCTGGTGAGTGAGCCGCCCCTACAAATCCTACCCATTTGTAGGGGCGGCTCGTATCATCAGCCGCCCCTGCTGTTTCATTTGTAGGGGCGGCCGGTCTCGTGAATCCTGAACACGCCACTGTAGGGGCGACTCCATCACCAGCCGCCCCTGAAAAAAAATTTATCCCGTTGCTACAAACCGTTTTTTACGTAGTGAGAATAAATAACCAGTATATGAGTGCACATCAGTATAAGCTAATTCAGACATTGTGGTATACGTACAATGCTTTTGTGGTGATCCGAGAACGGAGAACCACAGAAGATCGACCGTGCTTGCATTTGGTTAGTGGATCACTAGGAATGAGCTGAAAGTTCTTACCATCATGGCCAATTTTCCAAGCCAAAAGGTCTCAACTTTCTAGTCCATAGTGCCAGAATCATGATTACTGAATAGAATACCTGTCATCTTCTCCTAGTACGTATACACTAATCATCTTATCCTCATCACACTATAGATCAGATCAGGAAGCTAAGCTGCTAAACTCGAAAGCACATCAAATGCGTGTTATGCTTTCTCTAATCTCTCGCTAGTTTTGTTGATTGACTGCTAGTAGTACTCCATATCTGCCCAATGTGTACTTTGAACATGAGATAAACTGCAATTCAGTGTTGATTTGATGCATCATTAAAATGCTAACTGCTGCTGCTGGCTAGCTGCTTCAGCCGTCTCGTCATGCCGCTGCCAGCACCAGCAGGCAGCAGCAGCATCGAATGGCCACCAAATGCGCTTACTGACTGACAGATTCACATTCACCAATGAATCACCAGGCTGGCCCCGAAGGTGGTGACAATTGTGGAGCAGGACCTGAGCCAGTCGGGTTCCTTCCTGGCACGGTTCGTCGAGGCCATCCACTACTACTCGGCGCTGTTCGACTCGCTGGACGCGAGCTACGGCGAGGACAGCCCCGAGCGGCACGTCGTGGAGCAGCAGCTGCTGTCGCGGGAGATCCGCAACATGCTGGCCGTCGGCGGCCCCGCGCGCACGGGCGACGTCAAGTTCGTCGGCAGCTGCCGGGAGAAGCTGGCGCAGTCCGGGTTCTGCGCGGCGCCGCTCGCTGGCGGCGCCGCCGCGCAGGCGTCGCTGCTGCTGGGAATGTTCCCCTCCGACGGGTACACGCTGGTGGAGGAGAACGGCGCGCTCAAGCTCGGGTGGAAGGATCTCTGCCTGCTCACCGCCTCCGCCTGGCGCCCGATTCATCAGGCCCCGTGCCGTTAAAAGCTGAGATTACTAGCCTTATTGTTACAGAGCTAAAGGCATTTTATTTTACTGCTACTAGAGCTTACTTACTTCTAGAGGTTCTTCTTCGACATAATTGATCTCTTTCATAGTGACAGTTACTGATGTGAGCTTATTAATTAGTTTCTTGGTAGGTTCTGCTTAGAAGTCCTGTCAAACTAGTCCTATTTCTCCATCATCATTACATAGGCAGAAGAAAATATGGCAAGTTAGGCAGTTACAGACCAAGGCTATTTTTCTTTGGGTGGCAAATAAAGTAACCACTGCAGATGTAGTCCATTTTTAATACTAGTTCTGGATGATCTACTCATGTACTATTAGAAGTTGAGCCCTTTTTGGTGTGGATATATATGCATTTGCCTACTTTTAACATCCTTTTCACCTTTGCCTCCATGAGGTCATCTGCTTGTCAATTCTTTGCTCCCTGGACATGTTGACCAAGTGAGGCATTGGCATGATGATGAGGTCACATTTAAGGCTGGACGAAAAACTCGAAGCTCGTTAGCTCGCTCGGCTCGTGGCTGGCTCGACTCGGCTCGGCTCGGCTCGTTATGATAACGAGCCGAGCCGAGCTAAGATTTTAGCTCGTTAGCTATAACGAGCCAACTCGAGCCAACTCGCGAGCCGCTCGCGAGCTAAACGAGCCAAGCTTCCAGGAAAAAAATATCAAAACTTGTATTAGTTTTTGTATTACTTCATGTCTTGCACTTTATAATTGACTGGTAACTGGTCTAGACCCTATAAATTGACTGGTAACTGGTCTATATGTATTTCTTTTGTATTATTATTATTCTCAAACTTTAGATAAATGCAAATATTATATTTTGTGTATTTTTTATACCTGGCTCGCGAGCTTAACGAGCCAGCTCGAGCTTTTAACGAGCCGAGCCGAGCTGGCTTTCTGGCTCGTTAGTATAACGAGCCGAGCCGAGCTAGCTCGTTATCTTAACGAGCCAGAACGAGCCGAGCCCAAACGAGCCGAGCTGGCTAGTCACATTACATTACGTTGCATCCATCCAGAAAAGAAAAGAACCAGTATATGAAAGCATTTTTTTTCTTTGAAAAATAGGTTTGCCGAGTGTAATTTTCAAAAACACTCTGCAAACAATAATGGTATGCTGAGAAAAAAATTATTATTTTTTCTTTGGAAAATAGGTTTGCCGAGTGTATCTTGGAAAAACACTCGGCAAACCATTTTTTTTTGCCGAGTGTCAAATTTGACACTCGGCAAACCATTTTTTGTCGAGTGTCAAATTTGACACTCGACAAACCATTTGCCGAGTGCGCGATAAAAAACACTCGGCAAATATCTGTTTGCCGACACTGTAGATACCGTGTGTTTTTTGCCGAGTGTTACACTCGGCAAAGACTTTGCCGAGTGTTTTTTGGTCTTTGCCGAGTGTCTGTGGCACACGGTAAAGTCACTGTTTCCAGTAGTGACACCTTACATGTCAAGATAATAAACTTTAATTGTAAGTAATAGTGGCCTGCTGAGGTGGATACCTTGCATGGTAGCTCGAAGGAAGTGGATGACGTGGCTTAAAGAGATGCTATAGAAATAAGTTAGTGTGATTTTGCTTTATAAGAGTAACCTTTCTAACAGTTCTTTGCCAGTAATACTCCTATTGTTTTGCAATCTTGAAAAAAGAGCTATTAGTTCGCTAACAAGGTCCTTAATGGTGCCACACATCTCTATATATAATGACACGATGAAAAGCTCTGAACCTCTAGATAATCACCTGTTAGCCGATTCCGCACACAAGAAAGGACAAAGTTAAAGCACGACCAGTCGTGAGGTCGGGGAGCGTGCGACCCGGTTCGACGCCCGTGCTCGTCTTCAACCTCGGTGCGCGCCTCTTCCCTCGTTGCCCCCGACTGCATCGCCGCCGGCCATGCTGCCCACATCCCACCACCGCCCTTTGACCTTGCCGTCCTCCTTGTCCTTGCCCCCGCCGCCTTCTTCCCCCCCTCCAAGCGAGAACACAATGAACTGACGATAAAAAATCTAGAGACCTGTGAGGCTGACTTTGAGCTCTTTCTTTGCGTATAAAATTCCCGAGCACCACCCGGGAAGACTGAAATGATCCACGATTTCCTTGAAGGAAAATCCACAGATACAAACTATAATGTGATAGTCCCATGAGATCACAAAATCACATTATTGAATATCAGTCGATATCACAAGTCATACATTGAATACCTGTCATAAAGGGTACAAATAGAGAGGTTTACCCTAATTATTACATCGCTACTTGGCAGAATCACTCAACACACAACATCCATATCAACATCATAGTAGACGTAGCGCCTCAGCAGGTGAAGACTCCTCCTTCACAGGCAGTCTTGAACGTAGGACAAGACCCTCTAGTCCTCCCAACCATCGGCCTGGTAGTCGTACTGAGGCTTGTCACCTACCAAATAATTATCAATACAATTTGTACAGGCCACTGGCTCCCTCCATATGCTTTGCTTCTACTTTGTGGAAAGTGGTATCCAAGGGTAAGAGAAAAATACCTATTTATGACTATAGTCTTCTTATGCAAGTTCATCAATATTTTATAATTGCTTCTCAAGTTTTAACCCATTTCCATCCATCCACACACAGAACCACACATCTCACCACACTCTCACTCTCTAGGCGACAAGGACAACTCCCTCTCGTGCCTTGCCTCAACGGCTAATAGCCGGATCTTGCTCCAATCCCATGGGGAAGAAAAGAACACCTCCCACTAGTCAAGTGAAGCGATAATATAGGAAAGGTACACAACCGTAAAAAATGGCTATGTATCGACCGATCAACCAAAACTCTGCAAACGGATACACCTGGACCCACCAGATCACCATCATTAGCGGCGCCCCGCTGACGAGATCCTAATATATGGATATGTTAAGCCTCGGGATCAAGGGTTCCCGACCGAGAGACCTCATGACCGATCCCTCTCCAGGATCACCCGGGGGCTCGGGGGCTACACCCATCGGGTGCGCTTGCGCGCACCCTCAGGCTAAGGACTTAGGCCGAGCCCGAGCATGCCCACCACTTCTGTTCTGGGCTCGGGGGCTCGACTGAGCCCCAGGCTCCTAATCGACGAGAGCTGGAGCCTGATCCTTGGCTCCATCCCGGCCTTCAGCGCCATGCAAGGCCTGGGCGCAAGAAGACGATGCCCCGAGTCACCAAGGCTCGGGGGCTATTGGTATTTATTAAGTGCAAATAGAATATGAATGATTCCGCAAGCGCACAGAATACCATTGTAGCATTTTACCTTGTTTTGATAGTGATACACTAGCCATCTTGATGATCGAGGAAGGAACCTCATCGGTACTTGCATCAAAGCTTCATCTCCAATGACTTAAGGACATCATCTTACAACCGTGGTTGTTCATGGTCTTACGGGACTTAGTCGGCAGTCCACCATTGATTGATGTTTGTTGACACAAGGATGCATGCCATATTGTAATGGCATCTCGTCATCCTTGTTCTTGCTGTCGACGTGCGAGATGGTGTCTTCGAAGATGATGAAAGCATGTCTCAGATTGGCTAATAGGAGGTGAGTTGCACCCTGCTTCTCTTCAGTATCCTAGCTTGAGTATTGGGAAGACTCAATGCTAGGTTGTCTTCAACATTGCTAATGGTCTCTCGCTTTGTTCGTCCACTTTCTTTGAGTGAGTGCTTTTATTGTAGATCTTGTTGTATGGCACTCGTCTCCTTCTTCTTTGTTTCATCACTGAAGTGGTGGTTTGATTTGGGGTTTGCAGGTTCATACAAAACCATGAACAAGCATAGCTTATATTCACTTTTTCCTTCAAAACGTTAATGGACACATACCCGAGGGAATACAACAAATTTGAAGTATGGGTTGTTGTCCATAATTTATGTGATCTCATCTATGCTAATGAAAAGATAGTTTTAGGGATTACTTTAGCACAGGTTTCACTTATCATATTTTATAACAAATTTTATTTGTTTGCAGAATTCTAGCATGGTTGAAGGCAAAAGTAACTTGCAGCAAAAGACAAAGTGAATGATGTTTGATACTTAAAGTTCTTCCATTCATGATGAATGAGCTAAGACTTCTTTGCGCAAAGTTATTTGGAGTTCATCATATGCCTTTCTTCGTCTCCGATGTGAATTTATTTCTAGACTTTCCCAAATTGGATTTGAGAATTTTCTGCAGGGGTTAGACCGACAAAATAACTGTTATCTACTAGAGCATATTTTTGGTTCAAAAATCAAACTAGACACCGTGTCTAATTTAATTTAGGAAAACATTTTAATCTAAGCACCACGCTTAATTTAAAAGCCTTTGAAAGTAGGTATACGGTACTTCCAAACCAAAGCATACTATGACAGACAACTGTAGCATGAAAGCACTATAGAGATTTATTCAAATAGAGATGAAAGAGCTTGATCATGGTGAGGAATATATTTTTCTTCTTTTTTTATGCAAGGGACATAGATGCATGCAAGGAACTAAACATGCTATGGATTTGATATGAGAAAACATAAACTAAATGGAGTGGATGCATGGATTATTCAAAGTAAATATGTAGTGGAATGCAAAAATTAAAAAGATAACTACTCATCAATTTTAAAGTACATGTGCAAGACTATCTCACCTTTCTTGATCATACTTACCATGACTCACAAGATGGAATTTGTGAGTAGTGTAGCGTCTGTATTCGTCACTTGAGATATGATTTAAATTCTTGTCACGGTGACCTTTTTCTCCAATCTACACATTGTTAGAATAATATATATGTATACAAACATGTGAGATAGCAGGGTTCCAGAGTTGATGGATAATGAATGTTTAGGCACCCTGGGTTCTTCAATGTCTTCTTTCTTCTTTTCTTGTGGAAACTTGCCGGAAGGTCGAAACGGCTTCTGTTGTCCTATCTATTCCACAATTCAACAAAATAGTGGTAATCCTACTAAAGCTAGTGGTATGTTGATTATCTAAATCTTTACGCCAATTGTTTCC